TATAGAATCATTAATTACGTATACAAACCTTATAAAAAACGTATCATTTCCTTATTTCGATTTCTTATAGGGAATATGTCATCACTAGCAATTTTTTTATTAATAGTTTTGATGATAGTATTGGTAGAAAGTTTCTTGGCAGTTTTATTAATAGTAATAGCATATGCGAAAGAGGTTAGGCGAGAAATAATGATGAAATCCTTAGTATCAGTATCCATATTATCTTCATTAACAGGAACAAATTCATCAGGATCAAAAAGGTTGGAAGGCAAAGTTGTTGAAAACCATAAGTTTCAGAAGCAATATTTTCATCTGAAGACAAGTCGTTATTAAGGTATTCAGCAGAGCTAAAGGCAATATTATTTTGATACTTTACTTTATTGTCAAACTTAACAGGAACCTTTTTGTTAACAGAAATTTTCTTGTTGGAATTTCTAGTCATGTTAGTTGTTGTAAAAGTATTTGTATAATTGTTTGTAAAACTTTTTGACTCTTTCTTATAAATAAAATTGTTTATGTTAACGAGAGAAATAATAAACTTTCTGAATTGAGTTTTTTGTATTAAAAATAGTAAAGGCAAAACAATTTTATTTTCTAAAAAATAATTTTCAAAATATTTTGGAAGAGAGAAAAAAAGTTTTTTGGGTTGAAATCATTTCAACTATTAGAGGTAAAAAGTCGAAATGGTCGAAATGACGTCATATCACATAATTTTTATATATAGAAAAAATAAAAAAATAAAAGATATATGATTTCAGTTAATATCGTTCTGATTCATATAAAAATAACTACCATTTGATTCCTCGCGACTAGATGAATCAAATGAGCTAACATTCATTGATTTCTGATCATACAATCTCGAGATAATCTCAATTGTATTATCAGCCAAAATTATGAATCAATAAATTTTACTTTAAATAAAGGAGTCCAGATTTCGAAATTCGATCGCAAATATCTCGAGATAGAATGATCTAAAATTAACTTCACTTCAAACTTTCTTCCAAAACAAACCACCAACAACTCTATGCATGCCTAACCTAAAAGTAACAACATGTTTGAAGATACAGGTTTCAATTACATACTACCTCCATTAATAAAGAGAAACAAAAACAATCTTGGTCTGAAGAACTTAAACAAAATGAAGGATCACATGACCAAGAAAATTAAGGGTTTCGTACAACATCATCACTGCTCCTATGCATTTATTTATGACAGACAATGCGTCAGACATAAAAGACAAAACCATAGCTAAAAAACACACGTTCATTAATTTTCTATTCATACGATTCAATGGTTATCAAGGTTCTATTTACATCTCCAAATTTAGAAAGTTTTCAGTCTATTTCCAATCAATAGAAAATCTAACATATGCTATTATAAAAGTATAAGAAACACAACATAACCCTATATTCACTATTACTGACCCTGTAGCAAAAAAACTCAAACAAGATGCTGAAAAAGGAAGGACCCTTAAAGTTTCAGATATCCCCTTATTTATCAAATCCGATGTACTATGTAATTTTTTCTCCAGATATGAAGCAATCATCAGATTCTCCATGATTGTCTAAGACCCCTGGCAGATTGCATTCATTGTTTTCGAAAATGCTGATATCATCAAGCCTTTTTATAATGACCTCTGGTCCATTAAATTTCTTGAAACTACACTTAGAATAGAACCAACTAATCTCAATCCCATGCAAATCGCTTTGAGACAGCAATTTGAACTAAAACTAACTGGTCTTCCTTTCAATACTGATCAACAACAATTAGGAGATTTTCTTGCATACATCAAAGCTAGAACATGCTTTATACTACGTAATCAACAATACAGACTTAAATCCTATGTATTTATTAATTTCGCATCACTAGAAAACCTTGATGCTGCGACAGCGCAGTCTCAGAAATTTAAAGGAAAAACACTATACTGGATAGAACTATTAAACAAACATTGTCGCAGCTGTGGTGTTCTTGGCCACAAATTCAAAGATTGTACAAACTGCAAACTAGCAAATCCTTACAGACCGCTCTACGATCATTTCAAACCAGTTCGTTAGTAATACAGAATATTATATCTAAATCAGTATATGATAATAATTTGGAATACTGAATTATAGAACTTAAATAAATTGAATCAAGAGCCTTACTGTCCACCACGTAACAATACCTATAATAATTTCAAAGGTGTCACACCATATATCAATGCTCTTAAAAACACTCCTCCTAAGAATGATGACAAATAACCTTCTCCAGTTACCCCTAACCTTATTGATGCTTTGAAAATTGTTCAGGAAAGACTGGACAACATCAAAAATAAGCTACTCTCGATCAGTGATGAAATTGTTACCATAAAAAATGATATAATGGAACACCAATAAAATAAAGATAACATTGGATTTAGACTTAACCATCTTGAATACATGCACAATATCAAATATGACATCAAACATACTACTGACCTGAATTACGTTTTTTCTTCACATGACGAATACTTTATGATTGAAGACACTACCCTTCTACTGACTCAAGAAAATCAAACACCTATCATTTCTAACGAATCATCTGTTCCCAATACAAATTCCTTAATCAATCTTCAAAAAATTAGTGTTATCAAATCATCCGTTAACGAAATTATGAACGAAATGAGAAATTTGATAGCCACTATCAGCCCAATCATTCAAACGAGTAATATTTCTCAATGAGTGTACTGTACACCCCTAAACAAAAAATTTTAATGGAACGTCCCCTACAATTCCTACTAATATTAATAATGTTACACTAAAAATCATTAGAATGATCTTCCTAATGTAGATCCTTAGAAAACTATGTTAACTTTGTTAACTTCGTTTACGTCGTCT